AAAGATCAGCTTGCGTCTTGCATTGCTTGTCCACAATAAAGCTCTGAGCATCACATCGTTTTGCAGGATTTGTTTCTCCATTGTTTGTGCACACAATCAACAGGTGTAGACGCAGGGTACATTATGACTGTGTTGGAGACAGATGATGAGGAAGGAACAGACAGGAAAACAACTTAGGATAAAGGCAGGGAGTGTGATGTGTCTCTCCAGGCTCAGTGTATCACCTCAATTCTTTGGCCAAAGGGGAATCCCATGCAAGCCGTCATAAGAACGGTACTGCCACAACATGAAGCCACACTCACTGTATGGCCCCATTCTATCCAAATCTGCCCTCCTCCTCTGCATCTGATCCATCCTGATCGGTCCGCACTGGAACATGCCAAACACTCAAACTGTCTGGAAGTGTGAGGGAGATGTGCACTGGAGTACTTAAGCGTAAAACTACAGAAGCTAGACACTGTGGGTAAAAGGAGCAAGTAGCTGACACAAAACAGTCACAGATATATAAAGCATGGCATGTGGCACACTAACAATTGAGTATGTTAATATAACTCGCTGTTAATTTATCCTATTTAATATATGAAAGAATCTATATGCATCCATCATAGACTTTAAATGACAGAGCATGAGTCTGACCTTGAGCACCGACAAACTACACTTCATACCTGTGAGTCGACAGTCTACAGCAAATAAAATATTACTGATCACACAGAACAAGCACTAAAACATGCAGAACGGTTGCCAGAACTAATCAATCGAGACAAGGATGTCTAAATATTGAAGGAAGCCTACTGTATGTGACAAAAGAAAGAATGACTCAAAGGCCTCCTCCTCACATTGTCATATATGTGTGAATTTTAGGGCAAGTATGATTAGCAACAATAAAGTTGAGTGTAAGGTATTTGCTTTCTCCATATTTAGGATTTTATTCATATAATTGTATGCCTATAAAATACACTACACTATGATTTATTATTTAGACATTATGCATTATATTGTTCAGCACAAATAAT